GGCCAGGCCATGAAGGAGCCTGGGAGCTGTTGTAAGGAATTGGGAGTTAACTTACAGTAATGTCTCCACTTTCCCAAGTCTTAACCAGTCCCAATCCACTTAAATCACTCCTCTGACCCTCACCACTCCACAGCCACTACGGTAGCAAGGGCCGTCAGTGAGCTCCTTCATGACCAAGCCCGTGAAGCCGTACACACCTTTTCTGGTCCTTTCTGTATCACTGGAAATTGCTGACTATAGTCTCCTCCTTGCACACATCTTCCTTCCTTTGCCTTTATGAAAATAAGGTCTTCTGGCTTTTTCCTTGGCCTTTTGGTTGCACTGTCATGTTTTCCCGAGGTTTGTCCCGGGGTTCTTATTCTTCCAACCACTGTTTGATGTTGGAAATCCCCAGGCCCTGTCCTTCACCATTTTTTCATTCTGCATCTCTGGGCTCTCTTGTTCTTTCTGTTCATTGCTTTCCCCACCACAACATTGCTAGAGGCTTCTAAATCTAAATACCTGATCTAGACTTCTAGATTAAGCCCTAGACTTACATGCATTCAGCCATTCAGAAGTTTTTTATTAAGTGTTCTCTGTGTATCGGAAAGAGTTCTGGTTGCTATCCTAGACCCAGTAAAAAGAGACCAAGTGTGCCTGGTTCACGACTGTGTTTTTACCACTTACAAATCTCCATCTAAATTTCTTATAAACATTTGAGACTCAACAAGTCCAAATCTGAACTCATTATCTTGCTCTGAAAGTTGTACCCTTCATCATTTGTCCCATACAGTAGTGCTTGACATTTCCATTCCCCAAATTACCCAAGTCAGTGTCATTCTCCTCATACCACATATTATATTGGTGGAAACAATCTGCTAATTCTACCTACTTAACATTTCTCCAGTTAAACTCTGTCTCCTCCCCACAGTTATTGCCTAAGTTCCTTAGGTAATCATCTCCCACTTTTCTAGAACAATCTATGCATGTAGTAGATAGTGAACAGTCATTTGTAGAATGAGCTTATGGATAAAAAGCCAAAAATGAGTGGAAAACTTGGACAACTGCTATCATTTCTCCTTACAGGCTACGTTGACTCCATTTTGCACCCTCCAATCCATTTACCAAACCAATGAAAGCCAGAGCTTCTCACATTTCATCATTCCTCTAATCATCACAATTCAATGACCACTGCCAGGCAGGATAAAGACGATTCCATGTCTGGCATCAGAGGCCACCCAGGGTTAGGTACATGTGCTTTTGCTACCCTCTTTTTTGCAGTTGTCCTCAACCACACATACTCAACAGTACCCAGAATTACCGTATGGATTCACATTTCCATCTTTGCCTAAGCCATTTGCTCTATCAAGATCGCAATTACCCCTTGCTTTTCCACCTGAATATTAACTACTCATCTGTCAGAACTCAGCTCATGCCTCACTTCCTCTTTGAAGCTTGTGCTCACCTTTCTGCCCTCATTTCTACTTCCTTCTTTTTCCCCTGCAACTTTGTACTTATCCCTATAAAAGCATCATTTCACACCTATTCTCAAGCTTGTAGTTACCCCTTGCTGGTGTCATTTTCCTCTTTGAAAGTGGAAGTCTATGCCTTTTTAATTTGGGAACTGGCACATAGTAGACACTCCAATATTTGTAGATGGATATAAATGAATGAATGAACAAGTAGAATGTAAAGTGTCATGGAAAGATTATAGGCAAGGTGATGATATGATCGGATTTGTATTTTAGGAAAAACACGGTGTCAGAGCAAACAGCTGGAAGGCTGAGAACAGAAGCTAGATGATTAAGCGGAAGAATATGACAAATAATTCCACGGGCAGATATTGAGAAACAGAGAGGGACAGAGGAAGTAGCAAAGGAGAGGAAATAGTTTTGAGAAATATTTATAAAATGGGCACACAGAATTTAAAACGATCATTTGGATGGCCAGAGTGGGCAAGTATGAGCAAAAAGATGGTGTCAATGCTGACTTCCAGTTTCTTAACCTGGGTTACTGGACTACTTCTAGGTCAAGATATCTACAGATTCGTATCCATGCCATTCCACCAGGGAAGTACACACTGGAGGAAGTGACAAGCTACATGTATCTGCCACATTGTTTCCTGTGCTATTTCTCAAGACCATATTTGCTGCATCAATGCAAATGTATATACGGAGCCCATCATGTGTTCCTCTACCATCAACATTATTCCTCCAAACTTTTCCTAAAAGAGGAGGAATTAAAAAGTGGACAAATGACATCACCTCCTATTGGAATACCTCACCTACTGATCTTAGGAAGAGGTGAAGACAGGGAACCAGGAAACATTGCTATCTGGGAAATCCTAAAGAGTGGTAAGGGAATAGACTCTCCTAAACTCAACGGATTTACAAAGCTTGGAAGAAAGCATTTGAAGTAAAATCACCTCTTTTTCTTGCCAGTCATCTCCTCAGTAAGCAAGGATATATAAACTTGAAACCACATTTTATACTGTTAAATTACCATTATAGTAATGATTTTTGCATATTTAACAGGAATTTTTCCTTACCCAAAACATAACTCTAAACATGCTTTCCTTGCTTCTTGGCAGTGAAAACATAGGCCAACCAGGCAAATCCATCCCTGAAGTACCTCATTAATCACAGTGCACTTGTTCTTGGCAAGAGCCTTAATGTGCTTCAAAAACTGCTATTAAAGTAAGATTTGGGGATTCCCAGGCTGGCAGGGAATTAGTTACACCACTTTAGAAATTGTTGTCTTATAATTTCCTTTATTATTAATGATCTTGTTAGAGTTACAGCCCAAAGTAACTTTCCTTTCTTAATTTAATGTGTAAAGTCCTGTCATTTAAAATCCTAAGCAGCTGTTGCCAAAGATGACCTGTCTTCCAGGCCAGGGGTAGCTGTGCAGAATCCTCCCAGTAGATGACACTACCTATCGATTACCTCTCTGTGCTAAAGTGAATCTAGCACCCCTACCTAACTGCTCAAACATTGCAGTTTCAGACTCTAGAAATGTATAATGCAAAACTTCACATTAGCACATGGTATTTACAAGCACATAATTTATTTCATATCTACCACTAAAAATATTGTTAAAGCCTCGTGAATAGAGAATTATGCAAACTCCAACCTCTTGAAAAATCATTTGTCAAAATTTTAAAATTCTGAGAGGCCATACAAACCTGTTAAGCACAAACATATTGAAAAAGATGTTGCATTACAAGAAGTCCTCATTCACATTCAAGAGCAATACTTAGGAGATACAAAGCATGGGTACCGACCAAGATTGTCTGTAATCTTCTCTAAATACACAATGCATCATTTAGAAAAATTAAGGCCACAAATGGCATCATATTATGAATTCAAAACTATGAATATCCTGGGCATACTGCTATAAAAAATCATTTTCCATGCAGTATATATTTTGCTACAAAATTGAGCACAGATCATTATTGCTAAATGCTGTAGTAGATCCAGGTTAAAGTAATTTATCAGGCTCCTCAGAAAATAAGATTAATTATATATCAACTCAGAGGGGATGAACATGAAAGGCATCAGTACTGTCTCTATATCTATCATTGGTTACAGTAACCACATCTAAATCAATGTGAGTCTCACATAGGTGAATAATAAAAATTAAACCTTTTGATGTAAATATGATGCTTCTCAACGTTCTCCTGTGAACACTCTAAGATGGAACGTGGGCTGGAATATTCCACATAATGCTACATGGTCCACATCTATCTGGGACTGTAAAATTTTCCAGACACCAGAGCCCCACAGATTGTAGACGCCAACAATTTCCTGATTCTTACCCGGTCAAATTCCAGGTACACCTATTTACAAACCAGTCTCTTCCATGTTATTTCAATAAATGTTCCTGGCGTTGACGCCAGTCCTCCATCTCAGGTGAAGGCTATGTTTGGATGACATGCCTCATTTTCAAAAGAAACCTAGTTTGTCTGTTTCAAACCTATTTTACTAGGAAACAAGGAACTTATATCAGTGAGTGCCTGCAGCTTTCTTTACACGTCTCCTAAGGCTGACGTCTTTATGTTTCATTTTAACATAAAGAAGCAGCAGAACAAAACTAAAAAGAGAGTGAAAAAAAAGAAAGAATTAGGACATAACGGCCTAAACACCACCTTAAAACGTGTAGCTCAGCCTAACGGGAGACTGAATGAATGGACTTTGTGGGAAAAACAGTAGTAAACTTTAAAGCCACTGAAAGGTTTTAAATGCCTCAGGGAAAAATAAACATTTGCTTCCAATCATTTTCTCATTAAGCATTCTCTGTTAGACGGTGAAGGTTTACTTGACACACACACGCGCGCGCGCGCGCGCCTGGACTCCGCGCCGCCGGCGCCCGCTTCACCCCCGCCTGACGGCCTGGTCCCCGCCGAGGCGGCCCCCGCGCGCGCCGCTGCGCCCCGGGTCCCCGGCTCGCCTCCTCCAGCCCGGGGCCACCTCGGCGGCAGGAAGAGCTCCGCGCACTGACAGATTTTCCGTTAGTGGTGGCGGCGAGGCGTGCTTCCGGGCACACTTAAACCCTAGCGGCTCTTCCTACCAGCGACCGGCTCCACCCCCGGCGGAGGACCCAGCCCTCCGCGCGGGCAGACGCGGCCATCGCCACCCAGCTCCCGCGCGCCCCCCGGGCTGCACCCAGTCGCTCCCAGTGATCCGCGTAGCCTAAGTCCCGCGCCCGCCGGCTCGCGCCTCTGGTCCCTAACGGCGGGGCAGCGCTCCGGGTGCACATGTGAGCGAGGTGGGGCTGAGCGTGGTGGAGGCTCCAGGAGGAAAACCATAAACACGTGCAGAGAGAGAAAAAGCCACCACGTGTGCGCGCGGGTGTGTGTGTGTGTGTGCATGCGTGTGTGTGTGTGCACGCGCGCCCGGGCCAGGGCGTCCTCGCCGAGCGCGTTCCGGGGGCTCAGACATCCCGGGGGGTCGGGCGTCCCGGGGCCCGGGCGTGGGGCCCCCCGGCAGGCTGGCGGGGTGCGCGCGGGGCCGGGTACTCACACGAACGCGTGGTAGACGAACGCCCAGCCGCGGGGTCTCTCCAGCACGTTGTACAGGTAGTTCTGCAGCCGCCGGTACTTGACGTTGCGCCGGCAGCTCTGGCCGCTGGAGTACGAGAGCGGCTTCCCCAGCAGGCTCATCCGGGCCCCCTGCTTGCCCCGGCGGCTCTCCCGCAGGCCGCCGCCGCCGAGCGCGGCCGCGCGGGTGCCCAGCAGCAGCAGGCCGTCGCCCCTGGCGGCCGCCGAGTTCAGCAGCACCCTGCCCCGGCCCGACTCCACATCCTTCATGCCGCTGCCCGGGCGCCCCCCGCCCGCCGCGGCCGCCGCGCCGCTCTTCACCCAGAGCCCGGCGGCGCCGCCCTCCTCTCCTCCCGCGTGGCGGCGGGGCATGGCATCACCACGGGCACCGCGAGGGGGGCGCCAGCGCCTGCGGCGGGGGCAGCGGCCTCATGCGCGCGGGCGGGCTTCGGGGAGGCGGCCGCGGCCGACGGGGCGCCCGCCGGCCCGCGACCTCCGAGCCGGGGCGGGCGCGCCCGCAGCCAGCCGACAGCCGGGGCTCCGCGGCGCGGGCGGAGGGCGCGGAGTCCTCGTCTCCAGCCGCCTGTAGCTGCGAATTCGAAATCAGGACCGGCGTGGGGCGTCACTTGGAAAAGCTCTCTGCTGCCCCCCCGGCTCCCCGCGGCCACCGCCCCCTTCCTTCCGAAGTGCCCCCGGGCCGGCGCGGGGCAGTGCGGGGCGCTCCGCGGCGCGCTCCCGCGCGCGCACACCCCGCGCCCGACTCCCTCGCCGCCGCCCCACCCCCTCGCCCAGGCGGCGTCCGCGCGCCTCCCGCCGCGGCCCGGGCCCGGGCCCCTCTCCCAGGCGCTGGCGGGGTCTTTCCTCCCCGGGGGCGGCCGGGCAAAGCTGCCTAGGGCCTAGCGGAGGAACTGGAGGTGCCGGTCGCTGCTCTGCGACGCCGCGGCGCCCCGTCCTGTCCTCCTGCCCGCAGGGCTGAGCGCGGGGACGGCCCGCCCTGCCCTCCAGGTCCCAGCCGGTCCCCGCGCGCGCGGCTCGGGGCTGGGCGCTCAGGCCCCCCGCGCGGGCGGCGGGTCCCCGCGTTCAGCGCGCAGACCCTGAGCAGCGGGACGCGGCTGCCGAGCTGGCGAGGCGGGGACGCGGCATCTCCCCGCGGTCACTCCCGCTTTCGGACTGTGACTTGCCGTCCCAGCCCGAGACAGCGAGCCCGCGAGTCACTGGACATCCTCCCGAGCCGGGGGTGGAGGGGAGGGCGGGTGTGGAAACTCCAGAGCGACTCCTCCGCAGCGAACGGGGTGCCCTGGGGCCCCTCCTGACAGCGGCGCGAAGCCTGGGGAACGAACGGGGTTCCCCACGTCAAGAAATTCCCATCTAAGTCCGAGAAAGTCATAAAACTGCCCAGTTTCGGCAGTGGCGGCGGAGAGTGGCAGCGTCTGGGGGAGAAACCCTGGGGGGCGGAGAGCCCGGGCCCCGGGGCCCCGCGCCTGGGTGCGTAAGGAGGCCCCCGCGCGGCTGCCTGCGGCCTCCGGCCTCCAGCCGCGCGGTGTCCGAGGACGTAGGCGCTCAGCCGCCCGGGCGGCCCGGGGCAGCGCAGAGGGAGCGGGTCAGCAGGGTGGGTCTGCAGCCCCCCATCCCGGGCGTGGAAGACAGTGATTCCCAAGTTAAACGGAAGCAAACATTCAGGTGCCACCACACTGCCAGCGGGGATGGCTCCGGGGAGCGAGTCCACGTGCCTTGCCTTCCAGAAACCTCAAAGCGAGGCAATACTAAGGCAGAAAAGTCTTGCTTCAACTGCCTGCGCGCCCCCGAGGAGAATACTCCCCCGGTGCACACCCACGCCCGCGGCAGCTCCTTGCTGCCTGCGGCAGTAGCTCCTGAAGTGCTGCACTTTTACTTCGTATTGTTACCGCTGGTCTTTGCGGTAAGCCCTCTCGCCCGCTCCTGGCCCCCGGCCGCACTCGGCTGCCCTCCCGGCTTCTTCCCCGGCGTCTCCGGGGCTCTAGCCCAGGGCCGCTCCACGCAGCTACTGAGTTGCTCCGAGCACCGTAGCAGAGGCACTCCCACTTTCGCCGACACGCTTCCCACCCCCGCGCTGTCGGGGTGCGAGAGATCGCTCGGCGCCCTGCCCTCCGCAGCAGCTGCGGGAGCGCCCTGCAGCTAGCTCGCTCTCCGATCCCCGCGCGGCGCGGGGCCCGGGCTGGGGGCGGCGGGAGTTCGCTGTTCTATATTTAGACTCCTCGCAGAGTTTCTGTGCACTGACTTGAGGGTGAAGGACCTAAACACTTTAAATGACTGTGTGCATGCTTTGAACTTGAAGATGTTAGCTTTTCTGCAGGCAGAAAATGAACACAGATTCCTCTTACCCAAGCGGTTTTCCTCCTTGCAACCTTTGACCAGCACCGCCGCATAGGTAAGGTCATCCATCTCAGCATGCAGGCAGAGGTTTCCCTGGATGAGAGTCAGCTGCTTAATTTCCCGGTCATGGTTTCCTGAGGTTGCAGCGGTATCAGTGAAACCGTGATGTTGATTAAGCAGATGCCATGGAACTGTGAAAAAGTCAGGTTCCGGGGATCAGACCCAGTTTAGAGCTGAGTTAGTAGTGGTTTGGGATCTTCCAGAGTCATCTCCACTTAGTGAGACAGACAGAGAAGGGACCTGCCCAAGCCTTCACAGGGAAAATGAGGCTTACCAGGAACCCAGCAACCTCGCCTCCCCGTTGAGGACACCTTCCGCGGAGCAGTCAGTCCAAATCTCCAATAGAGAGAGGAGAATACTCCCCCGGTGCACACCCACGCCCGCGGCAGCTCCTTGCTGCCTGCGGCAGTAGCTCCTGAAGTGCTGCACTTTTACTTCGTATTGTTACCGCTGGTCTTTGCGGTAAGCCCTCTCGCCCGCTCCTGGCCCCCGGCCGCACTCGGCTGCCCTCCCGGCTTCTTCCCCGGCGTCTCCGGGGCTCTAGCCCAGGGCCGCTCCACGCAGCTACTGAGTTGCTCCGAGCACCGTAGCAGAGGCACTCCCACTTTCGCCGACACGCTTCCCACCCCCGCGCTGTCGGGGTGCGAGAGATCGCTCGGCGCCCTGCCCTCCGCAGCAGCTGCGGGAGCGCCCTGCAGCTAGCTCGCTCTCCGATCCCCGCGCGGCGCGGGGCCCGGGCTGGGGGCGGCGGGAGTTCGCTGTTCTATATTTAGACTCCTCGCAGAGTTTCTGTGCACTGACTTGAGGGTGAAGGACCTAAACACTTTAAATGACTGTGTGCATGCTTTGAACTTGAAGATGTTAGCTTTTCTGCAGGCAGAAAATGAACACAGATTCCTCTTACCCAAGCGGTTTTCCTCCTTGCAACCTTTGACCAGCACCGCCGCATAGGTAAGGTCATCCATCTCAGCATGCAGGCAGAGGTTTCCCTGGATGAGAGTCAGCTGCTTAATTTCCCGGTCATGGTTTCCTGAGGTTGCAGCGGTATCAGTGAAACCGTGATGTTGATTAAGCAGATGCCATGGAACTGTGAAAAAGTCAGGTTCCGGGGATCAGACCCAGTTTAGAGCTGAGTTAGTAGTGGTTTGGGATCTTCCAGAGTCATCTCCACTTAGTGAGACAGACAGAGAAGGGACCTGCCCAAGCCTTCACAGGGAAAATGAGGCTTACCAGGAACCCAGCAACCTCGCCTCCCCGTTGAGGACACCTTCCGCGGAGCAGTCAGTCCAAATCTCCAATAGAGAGTGTACAAAAAAGCTCATGGTTTTATTTCGATGTCTCTGCCAAGTACCTTTGGGAAAGAGGCCTTTCGAGCAAGCCCTGACCATCCTGCCCGTGCCTGCTCAGGAAGGGGAGGCTTACTGAGGATTCGTGGCCTCTCCTATCAGGTTCTCTGTATGAACCTTACTTCCTTAACTGTCCCCTAATGTCCCTCAAAAGGCAGGATTCAACTGTGGAGAAAACGAAGTGTTGTGATTGAGCTTTTTCTGTTGTGCCTTTGAATACAGATGTTGCTAGGAAACTGCCTTTTATTCTTTTTGCTGAACTATTAAAACCCAAATATCAGAAGAGAGGGTGGGCATCCTGTGCAAAGAGTAAAACAATACAGTGCACATTCTGTGCATAATAATTACATTAGAGCATTATAAGGTATAAAAGGTAAAAAACAGCCACTTTTTTCAAAGGCAAATGTTTCAAAGGCTATGGTAGGACGGGTGAGTTGATTGGCCTTCCCCATTCTTTGGAAATGGATTTGATTTCAACCATTCTCTAAACGTAAGATGCCTGCCTGAAAATTATGACCTTGGAAACGTTTATTCTCTGAAGTGTACATGGAGATGGTTTCAAATGAAAATTGTTACTAGAAATATTTTATTCCAGTGTGTTTTCTATCCCATTAGATTGTTCTTCTGAAGGGTAAGAGAATAATATTAAAAATTCTATACAAGAGCTAGAGATGTCCAGAAAAGACTTTTAAGGCAGAACAACTAGATCTGAGCTGGTTTTGTAAAATGTCACCAATCCCATGACTTTCCCCATTTCCTTCTCTGTGCCTCCCTGTCTTCCCACTTGCCCCAGCCCTACCCCCTCCACGTAACCTCCCATCAAGTCATGTTCACAGTTCTGATCAACTAGTGAGCGAGTTCTACTTTTTAATGATGTGGATAAGCACTTTGATCCAGTGTGAGACTCCCGAGTCAACTAGAATAGAATCCTCAAAATTTAGATGAAAAAGGAAATTTACTGATGAAGAAATGGAAATCCATTGTTGGCTCTCTTCAGTGACTTGCTCAAGGCTTGGTTATTCGCTGTAGAGGCCTAAAGGTCGAACTGAAGTCTCCTAACTCCTGAATAGGCTGCCTTTTAAATTATACCACCCTTTTCTTTAGCTTTTATTCCTGTCTGATCAGCTCATATTAAGCATAGCAACTATAATTGTGTTTGTTAGGTATCTTATTATAACCATTGATTCATTAAACTGTTTATTCTAAACACAGAAATAATCTCAATATTCCCCTTCACTTTTCCTGCAGTAGTAAGGGCTTCCCTGCATAGATTATTTTTGTAGTAAACATTTTAAAACACTCCCAAATCTTGTAGCATTAATTTCTGGAAATTGTATTTACATTTAGATCTGTTCCCTAACACTACTTTCAGTTTTATATATAAAACCCTGTTTACTGTGTTTGTCTATATCTGATTTCATTTTTTTCCCAACCTGGTAGTGTGGCAGCCTACTCTTTCTTTCAACCAACTACTTAAACACTTCTTTCTCGAAGTAACTTGAATGTAGTTATTCAATCTTTTTTAGATCCATATATTTAGAAACTGTGTGAAGAGGTTGGTACAGAAGGAAAACATCTTTGAGTTAGTATACTGGAAAATTCTGTTACAATTCTGTGCCCCCTAGTGGCAGCGACGTTTTGCCATAAGTTTTTCAGTGAGGAATG